TGTGTGTGGGGAATGGCAGAAAAATGCTGATCCAAGAGCTTCTTGAAGACACTGCTTGGGCGGCTCCAACTAAAAGACACTTCCTCACGCTTCTGCGGCTCTGCCCAGCTCGTGCATTTAAAACTCACTGAAGGGCCGTCGCAGGACTTATTACAAGAGCCATCTTGTGCTGAAGATCCTCCCCTTTCATGTCAGAAGCGCTGCCCAGCTGCCTCTCCGCAACACCGCAGCTCTGTGCGCATGTGAGGCATGCAGCATACTTCAGACAATAACAAAGTGCGCTGATGACAGCAGGGCGGCTCTGCCGAACACGTTGTTCATCGCTCCTGGAATTTGCAGGGGCACGGGCCGATTTCAATAAAAGCTGAGCTGGCGTTCAAGACAATTTTCAAGAGCAGAGAGAGCCCGTGCCGTGCTGTGACCGGTCTGGTTTGGCTCTGGGAACGTGCTGGAAGGCAGCGACAGTAACGCCCCGAGCCCAGGTTCAGCCCGCTGTAAAAAGAGGGCGCTGAAGGCACGCATCGCCCATCCATTTTCTGCACCTCTTCGTCGACCACAGAGCCGGAGCCCGGGCCTGGCGAGCAGTGGGCGCACTCAGGATGGGACGCCAGCCCACTGCGGGGCACACACAGACCCACACATTCACTCCAGGGCCACCCGCCCCAGAAGCCAGTTAACCCACCTAGTCTTTGGTCTGCGGGAGGAAACCCGAGCACCCGGAGAAAACCCACGGGAACATGGGGGGGGAACATGCAAACTCCACACAGACAGCAGCCCAGGGCACCAGGGCTGCGAGGCTCATAACCACCACGCCGGTCCTGTAAGAGCGAGCGAACATCACAGCCTGTGCCCATCGCCCTGCCACAGAGAGAATCGCTTTCTTCCGTCTGAGGGCATGCCTGAGCAAACCGAACCCTGAAAATGGCGGAAACCTCCGCTCACAATCCTTCCTCCTTCAGCCCTGGGCTCCCCCTCACCCCGTTTACCCCCTTAAAGTCTGCAGGCCGGCTGCAGCCTGGCAGTCCCCCTGTGATAATCACCCGCACCAGGGTGGAACCCAGCGCTCCTCTCCAGCGAGCGTGCAGCGCTGCCACCAGGCCCGAGGCCCGAGGACGGAGGCCCGTGTTGACTTCCCAGCTGCTAGGAAAGCCAGGCGTCTAAATATTTATCTTAGCACACCGTCTTGCGCAATGTCCCGCAGTGCTGCTGGACGCCACCCTGCTCTCACGGGGGAGCGAGCTGGACAGAGAGCACCTAGAAGAGACCTGCTCGGGGCAGGCAAGCTGGCCCTGGGGTTATCTCCAGGGCAGATCTGGGCTGGCCTCCTCCCTCACACACATTCACAACCTCTCTCACAACCGCACACGAGCACCTTGTGTGACTGTCTGGCCTCCTCTCCTCTCTTCTCCTCAGGTGCTTCTTCCTTACTCTAAGGCTCTTCGAGAAGCCACTTCTAAAGGGGCTACACAACAAAGTTTATTATTATTATTATTGCAACCTCGGAAACAGAGCAGTAAAGGCAGTAGAACTCCCTGGAAGCGCCCAGGTGTCAGGTCGCAGCCAGGTGTGTTAAATGAGCGCTCAGGACATCTTCAGGGGCGCCAAAAACAAGCCAGCCAGGAGGTGGGGGTAGCTTAGAGACACCAGCACTGCCCAGCAGTGACCGCAACCTGAACGCTGAGCTGAGACCTTGTGGTTAAACACACACACACACACACAGCTGCCGCCTGCCCTGGGAAAGCACGCAAACCCGCGCTGCTGGACAAATGGATCAAGTATAAATTAATTAACCGATCAATTAATCGTTTTAGAATTGGCTGGCGCGCACAAAGAGGCCCAAACAACGGGACGCTTGAGTAAGAGGCGACTCCGGCCCTGGGGTAAGTGACAGCGGCGCAGGGCAGTAATTACTGCGGGGAGTGGAGTGACTCACACCCCCCCCCCCGACACCCCACTGCGCTCCGTGACAGGCGCTATTCTGGCCGCGTGCCTCGGATTGTCACGGAATTACCAACTTGTACCAACAGGCAGCTAGAGCTGGGCTTTTGCTTTTTTTTTAAAAAAAAAAAAATCAAACCCAGTCCATTCAAGGCAGGGTTCTCCATCTCCCACCGGACACCGCCGAAAGCAAAACCCGACTTCGCTGCACACACGCCGGCACACAACCCACCCGCCTCACGCACCAGAGCGGCTGGGATGAGACGCATTACAGTAAACCAGCCACACGACTCAAAGGACGAGAGAAAGCGCGCAGCCCTGACGGGGCGAAATGACAATTCAGTCCTGATCGAAGGGCAGCTATTAAGCCGCATTAGGAAATTAAATATTGAACAGCGCGGCGTAGCAAGGGGCGGCACAGCGAAGTTATCTTTAATCGTCTCTTCCCTGTTCGACTGTGTAGCGTTCCCCCCGGGGAGAGAGGGATCCGAAACCGGCGACCAACGAGCCCTCGACACGCACACGCGTGGAGGGGCTGGCGGCACGCGCCCCAGGCAGGCGGGCAGGCGCGCAGGCTGTCCGTCACGGGGAAATAAACTCAAGGGAAGACATGACGCGGGTTCCCGGAGGAAGTTGCAGACACATTACAGCCAGCTGCGGCTCGGGTCTGCCACTCGGATGACTAGAAACGCGGCGCCAAACGCAGAAGGGGCGACTCTGCTCGGAGAGATACCGACTCAGAGGCTACAAATCCCGAGAGCAGCCCCTCACGATGATGGATCGCCATGCACCCGTGTGCCGGCAGTCTTCCTCGTATTACACACCGCGCTGTGTCTGAAGTCGAGGTACAATCTAACGTCGGGTCTCCAGTACCTACCAGCCGGTTGAACCTCCTTCGCAGCATATTGCAGCTTCTGTCTCCTCCTCGGCTCTTCTTTTTTCACTTGGTCCGAAGACACTAGAACTGCAGTTTCTTTTGTCTCGGGGTGGTGAGGGCTCGTCCTCCGTGGACGTGTGAGTGCCTGCGCGTCTCCCCTGCTCCGCTCGCTGGATCGCCGCGGCTGTGCTACATCACAGCTGTGTCCACGTCCATGCCGATTCCGACTCCCAAACCGTCCTCTCCCACTGATTTTCCGCGTTGCGGGCTGGCGGCTGTTGCTGCTGTCCTCCCCTTACAGGCGGCTCGGCTGCATCTTTCTCGGCGCCCTGTTGCTCACCCGGACGCATTCATCGCACACCAGCCTGCTTCCCCAGCGGGCGACGTATCAACCGACACGGGCAAATAAAAAAAAAAGACAAAGTTTGGATCCGAAGTCCAGCACAGTCCGGCTACCACGGCAAACTCCCCCCTCCCCTGTTCCCTGTCAAACAATCTCTACCCTCGAAGCTACCACTTCCACTTTCTGTAGCGCCGCCCCCCGACGCACGGTCGTCGCTCTGCATCATGGGAAATGTAGTTCCCCGCAGATTCTGCTGCTGGGACAAGAAAGTTCACAGAAACTTTCACAATCAGCCCGTGATAAAACCATCAAACCGATTGCAGGGGCAATAAAGGGAAAGAGCATTCCAATCTCTTTGTGTCACTGTCACGGAGTTTGCTTGTGAACCACTCTGATCCGTTTATAAAAACAACAGTCTGTAAATACGGTAAAAATAAAATATAAAAAAGTATTTTTCGTTTTTCTTTTTTTACCAGCTCCTGGTAAAAAAGCTTACAGTAGCAGTTAAAGAAATGGTCCTATCTAGATTCTGAAGTAGTACTGATATTCGTATATTTTAAAATGATTCAGTCTCAGGGGGTAAAGAAAAATATCTCCTGAAATATATTTGAAAAATCTACCAATATGAATCGCAAAGTTTCAAACGAATTGTTTTCAGTTGATTTGCATGAATAATATTTGGTGGAATAACTCATGCTTCCACCCTGCAGCCCCAAACACGGTCTCGATGGCGCAGGCACAGGCGCTGAGCGGAGCAGAGGACCGTCACCACCCCCGTCTGAGAGGAGCCCCAGTCCTGGATCACGACGGCCCTGTGTCAGCCAGCCCCCTCCAGGACCAGCACGCCCACACTGGGAGCCCCCCGAGTGGGGCTCAGCACAGACATCCTGCACGTCCGCAGACACCCATCGCACAGCGGCTGGAGAGGGGACCTGGGGGGTTTCCCAGGGGTCACGGCAGAACAGCAAGGCGCCCCGAAATAAGGCGACCCAGACTCCTGTCCCTGCGTCAACCCGTGTTCACACCACACACACGCAGTAATTGTGTGCATCTGTGTTTGTGTGTAATACCTGCGTCAACGGCACTTGATTTCACACACACACACAGACACAGACACACACAGACACAGAGAGAGAGACGTGCAGGGTCAAAGTTTAATCAACAGTAAGAGTTCAGAGACATGCCAATCCCCTGTGTATTCCAGTGTGGCTTTGAACATGCATTCTAAGGTGAAGTCTCACTGAATCTCACAATAACCTTGGAGATACAGTATGCACAATCCGAACACCTGTGTCATAACCCCACCTCAACCACCAGGCCTGAAACTGAGAAGACCACGGGGGGGGGGCCTAATCCGTCAATTTAGAGTCCTTCAAGACGTTGGGATTCCTCAGTGACAAGTGGAAACTACCTGGAAGTGCATTTAATACAGAGAACAGGAGGCACTTCTTTACACAAAGGGGTGTGGGAGTGTGGACCGAGCTGCCCTGGCTTCTTTCAGAAAACGACTAGACGAGATTCTGAAGTCAATTAGCTACTAACTAGCAAACAAGCTAGACAGTCCAGACAGCCTCTCCTCGTTCCTCTCTTATTGTAGCAAATAATACCTAAAGATATGTCCGGGGCTCTAAACCGATGTGAAACGACTTGGTAATTAAAAAAACAAATGTCTCCAATATATTCAGTCCTCTCAAAAATAAACTAATGAGATAACTTTCTGTCAGTAGAAGGTATTTCAATTTTTATGACGTGAAATATTTCCAGATCGCATTAAATGAAAAGTTCACTGGAAAGAGAAGAAAAGTAAAATGTGTGATTTTGTTGTACACAAACGTTAGGTACAATGATTTTAGTTTGCTTTTACCTCCCCGCCGTGGCCTTTTTAGGTACTGCAAAACCTTCCCTTTATTTCGCAACTGAAGGGAAGTAATGACATTTCTTCCCCTTTGACAGGCGTTTTCTGCAGGTTTCCGTGTCTGTCTTTACGAATAGAGGAAACACTGATTTCTCAGTAGGAAGTGAGACAGATGTGCAAAACGCCTCTTCCTCGAAATCGGCGTTATTCTCCCATAAATACAAAAGCTAGACTTGGCCGAGGAAAAAGGTGGATCATCCAGGTGGGGCTGCACATTGGTGGTGGTGGAGGGGATCCCCATTACCGCTTTGAGTGGAGTGTGCAGAAAAGCGCTATATAAGTGTAAGCAATTATTATTATTATTATTTTAAAAAAGCTCCCCTGCGTGGGTATTACTATAAAATGATCAGTAGGGGGCAGCAAATCGAAGCCCTAAAGAATAAAATCCTTTCTTGTACCTTCTACATTTGTATTTAGTAAATCCGTTCGGAAACTGAAGACTTCCTTGGGTATTTGGGATGATAACGTTGATGTCAGCGCTGTTTCCACCTCGCTGGAGCTGAGAGCCGATCTGTCAGGCTCTCCAGACGCGGCTGTGAACGGGAGGGGCGCGGAGTGACAGGGGTGACAGTGGAGATCTGGTCCTGATCGGCCTCGTTTCAGGTTCGGCTACCCGTGGAGCAGAAAGGACCGGGGGAGGGGGGCTCAGGGTGAGAGCAGGGCGATATTCCTTTTTAGTATAAACACCGAGGCCAGGGGCCGGCTGTCAATCAGGCCCCCCAGCCCCGCGCACACCTTTCCGGGAGCAGGAGACGCCTGTCTGGGCGGACAAGGGCGACTCGGAAGAAGTGTGCTGAACGGAGCGTGAAGAGGAATCGCAGGAAGACCCACCAAGGGTACGTGACTGACACAGCTGCAGTTTGGCAGCTTCAGGCGTGCGGCCGCATACCTGTTGCTCAGAGAGGGAACCTGTGCCGGGATAGCGAGACGCAGATCCTTTTCGAGAGATTTACAGTCTTAAACAACAGCACATTTTGAAGCCGAGAGCTAATCTAACACGCTCAGGGGGAAGCAACTATTTACCTTAATAAGGGGACCAAAAAGACACAACTTTGGCTCTGACCTGCCTTCTGTAGTCGATGGAGAGCCCAGGTCATTGCTGGAACAGCTTGACCTGAAACCCCATACACACAGAGTGAACCAGCAGCTTTTAGACTTATCAATCAGAAAGTACTTAAGCTGAGTAAGTGTTTAGTTTAACTCATTAACGCCCTGTTACGGAGAGACGCAGGGAAGGCCTAAAGAAAGCCACTAGTCTGCGCCGACACGCTGTTGAAAAGCGGGCTGAGATACCCCAGCGAGGATACACACAGTGAACACCTTGCGCAGTGCTGTCACCACGCTAGGGTCAGAGCACACGCCGCTTCTTTGGAGAGGTGAAAAACAAACTTTAGTGGCACTGGTGAAAGGAAACATTCAATCCCTTTAGGCTGTACACGACAAGACAATGCTTGAGTTTCATCTGGGTATTCAGACTCCTGAAAGGAGCAGAGAGCTGACCCCTGGGCTGTCAGTCTGAAAGGAGTACACCAGGGTTACAGGGACTGGAGATCGCTCGCAAGCGAGGTTAGGACAGCAAGGCAAGGCGCTACTCCCTTCGTTTGGAAGTAGAAGACCGTGTTAATCGATTGTCTGGGGTCCTTCATCCAGCGGCTTGATCTGTCTTTGTGTCAGTGAGGTGCCATATGAACAGATTAGTCTGAACGCGCCTTTCCTGTTTTTTTGCACGGCTCTAATGATCTAATGATCACTTTGCGTGTGTCTGCTTTGGTTTTAGGCGATCTGCTTTTGTACATGCCGTAGTCCAGCGCAGCGCTCAATAAGAGCTTCTTCCTTTTACAATAATCCTTGTTTGTTACCGCAGCACGCTGGAAATCGTGAGGAGCAGAAAAACCTGTTCCTTCTAAATACCAACACCTTTAAGTGAAGCAGATGCAGATGCACAGAATGCCCAGAAGGTGGCAGCCTAGTAACACGTATTACATTACAGGCTTCTTGTTTTGTGTAGTATTCAATCAAAAAGTCCACTGAGAAAAAGTCACGGTGACTAAAAAGGCCTGAAGCTACTGGCTAGTTTAATGAACCACACTTCTGTCTTAAATGTGTAAGAATTCTGAACAATGCCACTTTCACAGTAAGTCCGGAGAGCAGCGGAGCCAAAACACGTGGTCAAAGTAACCACAAATATTGAATTGCGTCTGTGTTTCAGTCTTGAGGACTTGTGGCAGTTCTGAAGTGATCGCTGTCTTTAACTGTCTAACTAACGTGCTGATTTCGAAATATCGAGTGTTTTCTTCCTACGTACTTTTAGTCATTTCAGTTAAAAATTCCTCCCCTATTCAAACTAGCATTTAGCAGTGAGAGTCAAGACAGTAAAGGAGGCTCTCAGGTGCGCCTCGTAGGACCAAAACCATAATCTTGGGACATAATGGAGCCAAGGGGCTGTAGGTAATGATAGGGTCTGTGTTCACAGCTGAGCTCGGGTACTGAGTGCACAGGCGTCACAAGAGCTAGGCTTTTTTAAGAACTGTAGTCCTGTTTTAACAGAGAGAAATGCACTGAATTCTTCAAGTTTCTGCATTCAGGTTCCCATAGATAGTTAAAGCGATATATTTTTGTCTGAATTCTGAAAGAGTTCTGATATGTATATAATTTTATACACAATTGATCATGATCATCATCATCATGAACCCCACCAGCCTTAAAAAATGAAAAAGATTAAAAGAATCAGAAGACAAGATATAATTCCAGAATGCAGGTGCCTTCATATTTATGTAGTTTACTTGCACTTTTGCATTTGGATTCTGTACTTGACACTGAGAGCTGAACTAAAGAACTAAAGTTCTTGTCTTTATCCCTGGACCTTCAAGATCTGAAGTTGTGCTTGTCGCAGTCCCTGTCCTTTGACAATGTTTCTGCAATGCCAGCAAGCTGCAGTCACACTCCAGAGCTCGCAGACATGGAGATGGTTCTGAAGCTGTGTTTGTTTGCAGTATGAATAGCAAACTACAAGCATGTGTCGGCGTACAAGCTTAATAATAACTCTGAGATCGCGTTGAACTTCTAATTAGTTTAAATGAGCACAGCGAGGTACTGTCAACCAATTGACTTATTAACGCCACAGGTATTTTCCAGTTCAGATTGTGAGCTGTAGGTGCTTGAGAACAAACTCTGTTGTTGTTGTTCAGGCCTCTGGTGGTGGAGTGGAAGTTAAGGGCTCATTCCTGCACTGCCCCTGCTCTCCCGGGGAGGCCGAGAGAGACCCGGCCATCTGTCCGCCTCCCTCCTCCCTGCGCCGCCCCCTTCCCACACTGCCCCTTTGTCAGCGGCACTTCCTGTCCTGCTCCTGGGCGTGGCGCGCCGAGGGGCTGGCAGGGGCATCTGTGGGCGCTTTGATGGGCACCTGCAAGGGGGGGAGTCAGAGAGGTCCTTCGAAAGACAGATTGAAGCTTTGTGCACGGAGGCAGCGGGGGGGACTGTGTGTGTGGAGGAGGGTACGCTGTCACTCCAGCCTGTGTGGGTCCGGGCTGGAGCAGGGGGGGCAGGAGAGATTGACAGCTTTTGTGGGCTGAATTTCTTTACAATCCCCCTGAATTAATGGGCGTTAAACTAGAGTGAGGACTTCAGGACGGAGGTAAATGGGGGAAAGTGGTGGTGGCACTGGTTTAGGATGATGGGATTGTGGGGAGGGTGTGAGGGGGCAGGGGGGGCTATTTTACTGCTCTGCTGGGAAGGGACCAATTCATAGGCATTCAGCTCTGAGCTCGTTATTCTTTGAATGCGCTGAGCGGAGGAATGCAATGGCATCAATTAGAATGTGTTAGCAGATAGTGAGTGAAGAAAAAAAAAACTTTCCTCTCTCCTTTTTCTTGCTGGACAACACAGCTCCACTATAGGAGGTGTCAGTGCCCACAAAGCCTTTTTGTGATTTTCTCTCCATTACATTACCAGCGCAATATGCAAGGTGGTGATTCCTTTGATTTAAATTAAGTGGAAAAACCACTAAATCCTAGTTTTATTCAGCGGAGATAATAGCACTATACTCTATAAAGGTCTCTAAGTACTTATCTGTTGGTTAAAATCTCCCCTTCTCTTTTTCACTCTCTGCCTCTGTTTTCACCGTTATTAGTTTTATTCAATAGTTTGGGTCACAGAGAGCCTGTTTAAGAGTGGAGCTTGTTGTGCTGCCTGCCATATCTCTTTTAATTGCAAGTAGTAATAGGCAGCAGTTTTGCTGTGTTTTCCCCCCTTAAAATGGATATGAATTAAAACAGTAACTTAGAATCTATTGTTTGTCTCAGACCTAGGCTCCCAGCTTCAGACAGCCAGTGAATCGAACCCTGAACTGCCACGTGTCACAGTGAAACAGCTCCGTCTGCCTTGTCCTGGATCAGAAGAGAGAAAAAATAAATAAATGGGTGAAATGATGATGAAATGCCACATCCGTCTTTCTGTCTCACTTCTAACCCCTTTCAGAAGGGGAGAACGGGCAGACAAAATGTTTAAAGCTGCCCTGTTTCAGCATAGCCCAATTAAAGCATGAAGTACAGTGTTCCATCTGAGCAGTCCTGCTACAATAAAGGCACTGCTGGGCCTTGCAAACAGGCCTCATCTGAGAAAGCAACGTTTTTTTTCCTTCTCTGGTGTTCTGCTGATACGAAGCAATGTTAACAAAGACACAGCAATTGTTGTTACAGAGATGCTACTGGGGAACTGTCTGTTAACATTCACCAGATAGACTGTCCACAGCGGGCAAGATGTTGCTAGATCCTTGCTTTATGAGCCACCTGAGGTCTGCTATAGCCATTGCTGCCTGTCGATACCCACCCAGGACAAAGCAAATCGCCATGCCTGGACTCAGAGGAATGACTGCAATCACGAGCCATAGCCTTTAATTGAGATAATGTCCCTTCTTGGACAGACAAGCATGGTAGGTATGATTTAATATATACACCATTAAAATGTGAAACCTGGACTATTAGGTAGGCCTCCCAGTTGTAGCAGTGTGATCCAAGCTATTTCAGCATCAATCACCTTCCATCTAATAGTACAGCTGTCGCATGTCTTTAAAAGGGTTTGCATTAAAAAAAATCCTTATTTGACAGTCTCTAGGTTTAATGCAAGCTAACTAGTGTGAACCTCCTGTTGAAAATGGCACGGTTGAATATGAGTAATTATGTTTAATTTTTTATGAAATAAGAGAAATTTACATCCGATGAAAGGCAACTGGAGCTTAACTGCAGTGAAAGTGCAGTAAATTGGTGGAAACGTTGGAGCTCGCAGAAACTCAATTACAGTGTAATTGTATAATTGTACCAGAACGGCTATAAATGCAGTTCTCAATTAAATTCACTTCTTT